TGCATGGCTAAATCTGCTGATTCTTACTGCTGGATGCAGTGGCTGCATCTAAACGGCTGTGTGAAGGAGGCTTAAAAGATTTGAAAACCGGTATACTCCCTGCCATAATATGGTGCTTTTTGGACCAGCTTACTGAGCAGCTACAAATTGCATTCTTATATTGTGGCAGGTAGTGCAGTGTAGTGGTTTTTACATTTTTTAATCAGAATGTTGTTTATTAGAAAAAAAAAAAATCAATAATGTGTTATTAGAAAAAAAAAAAAAAAATGAGTGCACCACCAACTATATGTTGGTACCTGCATTAAGGCTTGGGGAGCTATGATTTGAGCCAGGACACTGGAACAGCTAACAGTACAGCCTGGCAGACAGGTTGTGGTGCCGACTCAGGGTTCAGTGGGGTGCCAGTAAGCAGAGAGACAGTCACTTTCCTGGCATCAAGATTAAGTGGTCTGTGATGCTTAGGCTAAGCAGGGGTGTTAAACTGGCGGCCCTCCAACTGTTGCCAAACTACAAGTCCCATGAGGCATTGCAAGGCTGACATTTACAAGCATGACTCTCAAAGGCAGAGGCATGATGGGACTTGTAATTTCTCAACAGCCGGAGAGCTGCCAATTTGACACCCCTGGGTAATGTGTTGGAATCGCAGACTACCAGCCTTGTCTGTCCTGTCCTCCAGGTCAGACTCCTCCCACTTCAAAGGAAAGAAAAGGCAGCGGGAAAAAAGTGTAGAGTGCCATGGGCAAGACTGTAGATGCCACCTGCCACACTGGGAATATGCCACTGTGATCCGTTGGGCCCAACGACAGGCGGAGTGATCTGTCAGTCGGTTCAACCATGTACAGTGGTGTAAGTCACTGCCTAGCACTACACCAACGGTAGTGCAGATCAATCTGCCACTCACTTTGAATACTGTGCTGCCTTATGCTGTGCGGCGGCAGTGTTGGCGCTGTATGAAGCTTCAGGGCAGGGACACTGCATTTTGTCCGGACTCTATGGGGGTGTTCAGACCCCCCATACCTTAACTAAGTCCCTGATCCAGGTGGATTATACCTTGTTTTATTTTTCAGGACAGTCTGGGCCTTCATTTGGTGGCAAATGGTAAGGGGTATCTCCTGTTTTTGTATTATTATTAAAGGAAAACCAACCCAAAATATAAAAAATAAAACTTTAGCTGTATTTTTCTTGCCATTACCATGAATCACCACCAAAAACCCCAAATAAATTCTGTTACTCCTGGAGCTCATGGTGATACCACATACATGCACATGATTTGTTGTTTGTACCCGTAGTAGGGCCAAGAAACAATTATGTGCACTCACACACTGATAGTGGTACTAAATAAAAAAGTTGTTAAATCCTACCTAAAACAAGCTGACCTTTGACCCTGACCTAGTCCCTGACATTTGACCCTGACACTAACAGCCAGTTCACATCTGTGCGGCCCGTTGCATTTCAGGTGCATTTTACATGCATTGCCATCGAACCCAATATAATGCACGTTTTCATGAAAGCTTATCAAAGATGCAACAAATGGGATTTTTTTTTCTGTTTCAATATTTTTATTGACATTTCAAGAAGTTGTGACAAGCCGTGGTTTGCCCATGCAGGGGTGACATCAGACAGGCATGTAAAGAAACAGTGTAAGTATGCATAACAAGTTACATAACAGTAAACTGTTACCAGGACCTGAAAGGACCAGGTTAAAGATTAGGTAATTATCCCAGACAATACTACCATGTCTCCTAGAGGACTTCAATCTTCATTAATAGCCTTCATGTTGGGAATAAGGAGGAAAGGAAGGAAACAAAGAAAGAAAGGAAAAAGGAAAGAAAGCAGAAAGAGGGAGAGAGAGGCCCTAGGAGAGGGTGAGTACTATGGACACGGGACCTGAAAAAAATTAAGTTTATAGTCGACCACAGCTAGTCGGGGGAGGCGATGGGAGGAAGTAACTTACCCATGGTTTCCAGACGATCAAAAATTTTGCATGTGAATCCTTCAAAATACTGGACATCTGCTCACTAACCATCAGAGTGGTCATCATGGTTTTCCCCCCCTGGAAAGCAACAGACAAAGTCTTCTAGGCCTGAGCAATGGTTCGTTTGGCAGAGATAAAAAGGTATGAAGCCAATTTCTGCTGGGGTGTAAAAAACCCTAGTATAGGGAAATGTAAAAGAGCCTTCTGGGCATCCTTATGGACTGTCACATGACATATTGTCTGCAGTAGGCCAAAAACTCTGGACCAAAGGCCAATCAGACGTGGACTTGACCACCATGTATGTAGGACATCCCCAAGTGGACCACAATTTTGAAAACATCTATCACTGCTATGTGGTTAAGCATAGTCAAGCCTAGCCAGGACACAGTACCACCCTGTAAGCGGCCTCAAGTGGCCATTTGAATCAACATTTCACTATCATCGTCCAAGCCTTACTCAAATCCTACCCCTTAATACTGGATCCAAGATCTCACTCCCATTGGGTCACATAGGTAAGGGAAAACAGAGAAAACCTACCGTAAAGGGAGGAGTAGAGCATCGAAATCAGACCAGGGGACCCTGGAAAGTATAAACAAAGTTGTCTTGCGAAAAGGAAAGGTGCAAGTACGATGGAAAGACAGAATCCAATTGCGCAATTGTAGATAATGAAAATGTTCCTGTTTAGGGATCTCGTGTGTCTCCTGGAGGGCCTCCCACGATGGAAACTAGCGCATGGATAAAAAAGTATGCACCCCAATAAAGCCATGGAGAAGGAGCGAGGTTATTCCAACCCTTCCAGAAAAAGAGGGTTATTAGTAATTGGTAATCGGCAAGAAAGGGAACATCAAATTCCCGAAAATCGTACACAATCCCGCAGCTTCAGGCTATGAAGCATGAGGGGGTTTTGCGATAGAGGACATAAGGTATGAGAAAGACAAAATAGGACTTGCAAAGAAATCAGGGCGCAACTAGGTAGTTCAAAAAGCACCCACAGTGGGATGTCAGAGGTGGCATGTAACATGCATAATTGAGATATCTGGGCTGCCAAATAATATTGAGCCATATTAGCGGCTCCCAGGCCATCTTGTAATCTATGGGTATCAAGCGTCGATCTGTGGACTCTGGCGAGTTTATTAGCCCAGATAGACTGAAGGACTGTGTTCTGTAAAATATGTAGAAAAACAGAGGGGATGTGCACAGGCAAGGTCTGAAAGAACTAGAGAATTTTGGGCAAGATTGTCGTTTTGTCTGCATGGATCTGGCCTATTCAAGAAAGAGAGGGGAATAGCCAGGAACAAAGGTCACGGAGCACAGCAAAGGATAATAGCTGGCTGAAAACAAAGAAAAAGTGAGTTTAATCTATGGAATGGGGTGCCCATCGATAGGGATATTGAGTCTGTAGGTACGTAACCAGGTCATCAGGGAGGGTTATATTCAGCACCGTAGTTTTGGAGAGATTTATATGGAGTCACGAGTAAGCCGAAAAGTGATCCAGCATCATCTGTAAATTGGGGAGAGTAATAATGGGATTGGTGAGGACCATTAGGGCATCGTTCACAAAAAATGTGCCTTATAACGGTTGAATGGTAGGGAATACCAAATATATCAGGCTTGTCACCATGGCCAAAGGTACCAGCGCAAGAATAAAAAGTGCTGGCGATAGTGGCCAGCCCTTCCTCATACCCTAGAAAATCAGGAAGGGTTAAAAAACCCACCATACTTAAGAGAAGCTGTGTGGAATGAGTATAGGGCTTTAATCCAGGCCAGGAAGGCACCACCGAATCCCCACCATGTTAGCGAAAATTCTAGGTAATCCTAGGAAAGTGAATGTATATGTTGAGGAACAATAAAATACCTGCTATCTTGCATTGATATAGAATGTGAATTAAGTGTATAACCTTGCGGATATTGTCCCCTGCCTGTTTGCCTGGGACAAAGCCCACCTGGTCCTTGTGTATGAGAGTTTGAAGGTGTTTGTTGACACAAGTACTCAGGGCCTGCCCCAAAATCTTCAGATCCACATTCAGTAAGGAGATGGGTCTGAACGCCTGCGGTGCACTGGCTTCATCAGATGTTTTAGGAATCATGGTAATATGAGCTTTTAGGGATTCGGGGGAGGACTTAATGAATTAAATGAATGACAATGAATTAAAATATGCATTGAGATTTTTGGTCAAAAGAGTGACACATTTTTTGTAGTATAGTCCAGAAAACCCATCCAGGGCAGATAGCCTTGGCAATCTCATCCTCAGAGCTATCCATATTCAGGGTGGCACAGGCTGCCGTGGATAAAGAAGGGAGACATAGATACTGGAAGAAGATCTCGGCGTGCTCCAAATCAAACGAGTTCTGTCAAGACTCTGCAAACTCTGCTTTGATCCTCGTTCGGTCAGAAGTGAGACCACACCCCAGGTATATAGCTGGACAGGTTTGTGTGTGTGGCCTACTGAATTAAGATTCCTGGATAACATGGATCTAGTTTGTCACGATCGCGGCATCAGACCCCAGACCTTCTCACCAAACTCGTGTCCGAAGGACTAGCTGATCTAAAACCGCGATGTCACGTGCGTAACAATGCCACACTCAGCTGCACCCTGCACAATGATTTTCCAGCTAATTGGACCACAATCGATGCACCGGCAGCCTGAATTGATTGTTACTGGGTCAGGTTAATTACGCAACTGACCCTTCACACTGCCACCACCTCCTTTTTGTACAGAGAAAGAGGAAACTCGGCGATATCAGCAATACCACTAGAATGATTGAGGTAATCGTCTGTATAACATGGTTATACAGAGGGTCAAACAAACACAGTAGGCAGGGATTCGTAAATTGCAATAAAGCACTATAGAAACAGTTCAACACTTTCAGAAGGAAAGATTTATTACTAAAAGGTCAAACGGGTGCAATTAAAAATATTTTACAGCAATAAAAATATTTACAGAAAAAGATGTAACTAAGATATATATATATATATATATATATACAGAGACCAACAGTACAGCAAAGAGATATCAGAGAGAGGTGAAAGGGTTAAGGTACTTGCCAAAGTCCTGGGTTAGCAGATCCAAGTTTCAGAGCGAAAGGGCACGGGTCTGTCAGGGATGCGGGTGTGACCAGAAGTGTGTGGACTGACACAGGGAAATGCAGGCTTCAGATATGGTATAAATAAGACAATTTATTAAGACTAACAATACAAACATAAACGCAGTGCACCAAACCCCAAGCTAACACAAATACATACAACAAGGTGAAACAAACCCAAACCTAAACTGGTATAGATACACAGGTACATACACATATAGAGCACAACGTAGTCAAGCAGGCCGGGTCGATAACTATCGGGCAGGTAGGTACAGGAGGAGCAGGCGGAGAGAATGGTCAGGGTCACAAGCCAGGGATCAAACAGGAGAAGTCAGCAGAGGTCAGGATCAGGCAGGGTCGGCAACAAGTCAGGCAGAAACAGGAACAGGAACAGGAACAGAAATGCAGGTTACAAGGTACAGGGGCCCATGGAAAAACACACACCAAGGCACAGACTGCAGGTCTGGCCATCCCTTAAATACACCACCTGCAATCAGCCTCAGGTGATGGCTAATTGCCGAAGTGAACCTCTGGTTGTTGAGAGCACCCGCTGGCCAGCCCTGGTACTGCAGCCCACAAGGCAGGTGAGTCCCACCACTATTGGCAAGTCCATTCCTGACAGGGTCTCCCCAGGTGATACTGATGTTAAAATGGGAGACGTCTTCCACTTTTTTCTCTTAGGCCTGACAACCCAATTTGTAGTTCCCCAGCAAGGGGTGTCTCTGAAGTCAAGGACCAATACCCCGTTTAGGGCGTGGAGGTCTGGGCGCGGACCTAAACTAAAGCCAAAATCTATCCTAACTCATATTTTGGCTCATAACTCTTCATATGCACCAGTGACACTCCACCCACGGGTAGATTATTATGCAGACACGTCTGAGGATTGATTAAATATGAATTATGAAAGTATACACTGAATGGTTCATGATATCTACTTTTCGGCTTTCCTATGTATTCAAGACAAGGCAAGTGACCTATCAAATTGTTCGTCTTCTCTTAGCCAATCTGATGATATTTCTGGTTTTTATGTAAGTCTCTCATATTCCAAGATATGAGACATAGGGGAAAAATGGATTTTTAAAAGTGTTAGCTGGTCCCGCCTTCCTTGGAATGTCTTGAACTCTGGGGAAAGCTTGCCTTATCTTATACGAGGTGTTACATTTTACAGGTTCTTCGGACAGCTAGGCCCCAGCTCCCTTGGGGACTTTATAGCTCCTAGCCCCCTGCTGGGCCCTGGCCTCCTGTGACACTCCTAACACACATACACACTGGCCAAATGTCGCTGTGACTCTCAGAAAGGGAGGGGGAGAATGAGGGGGAAATATGTTTGTCAGGATGTTAACCCCTTTGTCAAGATGGAGGTTCTTAACAAAATGGAGGACTGCGTCAGTCTTTGGGTATATGCTGTTACACAGGTTTATTAACACTCATGTAGAAATTATGTCCGGCCCAGCGCAAGGCTTTTTCACCTTGTTGAGTGGCGAGGAGGTCAAGTTCAGTTGCCGAGGCATCACGCGCCTTACGGTTGGCTACAGTCATCGTGCCTTCCAGGTGGCATCCGCCTGAGCCAGGAGAGAGGTCAGCTCCCTTATCCTCTTCTCCCTAGCCCTTTTTTTTGGAGGTGGCAATGTGGATTAAGTGACCTCTAATAGTAGCCTTATAAGTCTCCGAAAGGAATATTGCGGAGGTCACTGAGCCCAGGTTGTCAGAAAAATAAGATTGAATATGAATGTGTATTTAAAGATAGGAAGCCTGAGTAGTGAGCAGGGATTCAGTCAGCCTCCACTGATAGGTAGGTTGAGAAAGGTTCCCAAGGTTCACTAGCATCACCAAGGGGTCATGGTATGACCAGATGGAACCTGGGATAGAGATCCCATCCACCAGTGGAAAATGTCAAAGGTGGGTGAATAGGTGGTCAGTTCTACAAAAACTCTGGTGTGGGTTTGAATAAAATGTATACTCCCGCGTTCCGAGGTGGAGGTCCCGCCAGACATGCACTAAGCCATAATTCCGCAGAAGAGAGCACATATTCGTTTCTGATAGGGTATCAGAGGAAGGGGTTGCCCCACTCAAGGAGTGCCTGTCGAAGAAAGAGTTAAGCGTCATGTTCTAGTCTCCCATGAGGAGGAAAACACCCTGCTGGCATCGTGAGACAACTTGCAGTAAGTGAGAAAAAAACTTACGTTGATACCTATTTGGAGCATATTACCCTGCCAAGGTCACCCCCTGATCCGTGATGGTACCCTGCAAAAGTAGGTATCTAGCAGTGGGATCAATATTTTCACAAGAGCAATTGAAAAGTAGGTTACATTTAAATGCAATCAACACTCCCTTATGTTTCTCGGGAGAAAGAGAAGAGAAAAAGATTGGGTAGAGCGGAGAGAGGTATTGAGGGCTGGAGGACTGTGAAATCTCATCTCCTGAAGGCAGACTATGTCTACAGCCTGGGATTTTAGATGATGTATCACCTTGGACCGTTTAACTGGGAAATTGAAGCTGTGAATGTTTTGGGAGTAAATCTTCAAGGGTCTCAGAGCCATACCAGACGAGGTAGGTGGGCCACGGTAATGAGCAGTGGGCAGAGGTCCAGACAGCATAAACCATGGTCTTCCCACAGATCCCAGGTCCATTGTGTAAGAAAGGAAAAAGAGCAGGGGGGAAGAGAGAATAGATTAGAAAGCTGGTGCATAAGCACATAGTGCAACAATAACACGACATGTGGAGTACGCATCTCAATAGTTAGGACACACATTGGGGGGTGGTCCTACCCTTGGGCACATGGTTGAGCTATAAAATACCATGAGGCATTCAGGAGAGAGTGGACAGCTGTTTAGACAACTGAGGGTGAGGAGGGGAAGGGGAAAAGAGAGAAAATAAAAAAAGGAGGGAGACAGAGGGAGGAGGTATTAGAAGATTAGGGGAAATCAGAGGGCAGAAAATACACAATCAATATAATAAAAAAGTACAATAACCCAATTACATAACTCAAGAAATGAACCCAAAAAAGCAGTGACCTTCAGGTTGCAAAAACATCCACAATCCCATTGTAAACAGAACCAGCCCAAGTCATGGGCCTGGCAATACAGACCACCAATACAGAGACAAGCGTCCACCGAGGCAGGAGGAATTCCTGAACATACAATATGAGCAAAAGAATATGAACCCGCTACAGCAACTTAACCTCAAAAGGAAAAAGCTATACTTATGGTAAGATGTCCATCACCCACTAGGGTACAGATGAGGAAAGGTGGTAGAATATGCAAGTGGGGATAAAAAAAAAACCACATGCTACGAAGGCAAATTCCAGTGAAGTAGGGAGCCTAAAGCAAGAATGAGGAAGGGGAAGGGGAGAAAAGGGGAGTGAGAAATGTCAAAAGTCGGGAAGGAGGGGCAATCCATCCTGATCAGGGAAAGGGCAGTTTAGGCCAAACGATGGGAAGTCAGTAGCCTAATGTAGCATCTTCCAGACGGGTGGCACTGGCAGCCACCTTTCATGTCATCCAGGACAAAGTTCAGAGAAAAAAACAAAAAAGAAGATGAACAAAGGGACATAGAGTCCAGTGGAGGGCAGTCAGGGCTGCTACACTAGTCAGGTCAAAAGGTTCTCAACCAGGCGGCCAAGCCCTACAATAAGAAAAAAAAAAGAACATTGCTTTCCCACAGATCACAATTCAACCTGGGTCAGAGCGTGAGGATCTTGATTGTGGGGGCTGTGCGAGGGAGGAAGTGGTGACGGCTTCCAACTTTCTCCCATATGCGACCCAACTGACCGGAAGGAGGAAGCGCACTCGAGGGCTGTGTCCATTAGTCAGGCTACTTGTGGTGTCCAGCTGCGACAGAAGGTGAAGCACCTCCAGGGTCAACTTGTTCTCCTCCGGGTTGTAGACCATATGGCTCCAGCTCTGGTAGGTGAAGGTGACTTTGAACAGGAAGCCCCATTGGTATTTACAGTGCCTTGAAAAAGTATTCAAACCCGTTGACATTTTCCACATTTTTTCATGTTACAATCAAAAATGAAATGTATTTTATTGGGATTTTATCTGATAGACCAGCCTTTCTCAAACACGGTGCCCAGGCACCCTGGGGTGCCTTGAGGTTTCTTCAGGGGTGTCTTGGCAAAATGTCTACAAATTGCCCAAAACCTGTATACAAGCCAGCCGGTGGAACAAGCCTGCCTTTTAGTTACACAAAGCCTTAGGTTTTCATTGTGCATCATTAGAAACTTCTAGCCTCTGGCATCCTGACAACCAATGACATCATCAGTTGATAAGGAGGATGTAAGCTGCCTGCACAGCATCCTTATTTGAGTCTCCCCTGCTCCTCTCTGTCAGTACTGGGGTCACATTAGCAGAGTGATGGAGACAAACTGAGGGAGAAAAGAAACAATGGAATTCTAGTCAGCACCAGCATGCAAAAGTGTATTTGCTTTGGAAGAATAAATTACCTCTAATGTTGGGTGTCCTACATGTGTGGGTGTTGCTGCATTATATAAAACTATTATAATAGTTTTTTACATTTTAGAATAGGGTGCCTCAAGACTTTCCATAGTTTTAAATGGTGCCTTGGGACTGATCATAATTTTAGAGAGTGCCTTGACATTGCCCATAATTTTAAAGGGTGCCTTGACTAAAAAAAGTTGAGAAACACTGTGATAGACCAACACAAAATGGCACATAATTGTGAAGTGGAAGGAAAATGATAACTGGTTTTCAATATTTCAATATTTTTTACAAATTAATATGTGAAGTGTGGTGTGCACACTTCAGCCCCTCTGAGTCAATTCTTTGTAGAACCACCTTTCGCTGCAATTACAGCTGCAAGTCTTTTGAGTATGTCATATACCAGTTTTGCACATCTAAAGAGTGAAATGTTTGCCCAATTTTCTTTTCAAATTAGCCCAAGCTGTCAGATTGGATGGAGAGCATCTGTGAACAGCAATTTTCAAGTCTTGCCACAGATTCTCAGTTGGATTTAGGTCTGGACTTTGACTGGGCCATTTTAACACATGAATATGTTTTGATCTAAACCATTCCATTGTAGCTCTGTCTATATGTTTAGGGTCGTTGTCCTGCTGGAAGGTTAACCTCCACCCCAGTCTCAAGTCTTTTGCAGACTCTAACAGGTTTTCTTCTAAGATTGCCCTGTATTTGGCTCCATCCATCTTCTCATCAGCTCTGACCATCATCCTTGTCCTTGCTGAAGAAAAGCATCCCCACATGATGCTACCACCACCATGTTTCATGGTGTGGATAGTCTGTTCAGGGTGATGCGCAGAGTTAGTTTTCCGCCACACAGTGTTTTGCTTTTAGGCCAAAAAGTTCACTTTTGGTCTCATCTGACCAGAGCACCTTCTTCCACATGTTTGCTGTGTCCCCCACATGGCTTGCAAACTGCAAACAGGACTTCGTATGGCTTTCTTTCAACAATGGCTTTCTTCTTTCCACTCTTCAGGCCAGATATGTGGAGTGCACGACTAATAGTTGTCCTGTAGACAGATTCTCCCACCTGAGCTGTGGGTCTCTACAGCTCCTCCAGAGTTACCATGGGCCTCTTGACTGCTTCTCTGATTAATGCTGTCCTTGCCTGGCCTGTCAGTTTAGGTGGACGGCCATGTCTTGGTAGGTTTGCGGTTGTGCCATACTCTTTACATTTTTGGATAATGGATTGAACAGTGCTCTGTGAGATGTTCAAAGCTTGCGATATAAGGTGACTTCTGAAGGCAATTGGTTCCACTAGATTTTAGTTAGGGGTATCAGAGTAAAGGGGGCTGAATACAAATGCACGCCTCACGCTTCAGGATATTTATTTGTAAAAAATTTTAAAAGCCATTTATCATTTTCCTTCCACTTCACAATTACATGCCACTTTGTTTTGGTCTAACACATAA